CTTATATCTCGAGTAATATTGGAATTAAACGTATCATGTTTGGGCTCATTTTAAAGGATTTTTCACGACGATTACAAATATGTCAAAATTGAGGTTGACATTTCTAACCGGAAGTTGACCATAACTTCATTAATATTGAAGATAAATATGTCGTGTTTGTACTCATTTTAAAGGATTTTTGATGAAGATTACAAATATGTCAAAATTGAGGTTGACATTTTCCACCTGAAAGTAGTTATACAGGGTGAGTCGGGAGGAACGGACCAAAATTTAGGAGTGTAGTGTACGTTTGAAAATAATGTAAAAAAACTCATATGTTGTTATCTGCTCTTAATTTTTTTTTTACATTTTCAACAAGAGCTTTTAGTAAACAAAGCCGGAAATGTTTAGAAGTTAATGGCGATATTTTCGCATAATTATTAAAATAACGCTGATGATCAATATTTAATGTTAATGTATAAGATTTTGTTTAATTGTAGTTATGCAGTAAGACTTATGCAATGAAACAAGCAAAAAAATAAAAAATAAATAAAATAAAAGAAAATCGGATAAGGACATATGAGTTTTTTTTACATTATTTTTTAGTGTACAATACACTCCTCAAGTTTGGTCCGTTCCTCCCGACTCACCCGGTATAATAGACAAATGGACAACTTCATGGTGTTCTTTCATGATGTATTCTTTATTAAAAAAACCTTTAAGACGAGTCCAAACACGACGCGTTTATCTCAAAATACAAAAACTTCGAACTTTCAACTTTAATTTTGACATATTTGTCAACTACATAAAAAATCCTTTAAAATGAGTCCAAACTCAACATATTTAACTTTAATATTAATGGAGATATGATCACTTCCGGTTTGAAACGTCAACGTCAATTTTGACATATTTGTCATCTTCATTAAAAAACCTTTAAAATGAGTCCAAACATGACGTACTTATCTCAAAAAACAAAAAAGTTAGAAAAAAAAACATTAGACCTGAAGTTAGCAACCTATTTCAAACCGGAAGTTGCTTATATCTCGAGTAATATTGGAATTAATCGTATCATGTTTGGGCTCATTTTAAAGGATTTTTCATGACGATGACAAATATGTCAAAATTGAGGTTGACATTTTAAACCTGAAGTTAGTTATCATATAATAGACAAATGGACAACTTCATGGTGTTCTTTCATGATGTATTCTTTATTAAAAAAACCTTTAAAATGTGTCCAAACATGACGCATTTATCTCAAAAAACCAAAAAGTTCGAACTTTCAACTTTTAATTTTGACATATTTGTCAACTTCATAAAAAATCCTTTAAAATGAGTCCAAACTCGACATATTTAACTTTAATATTAATGGAAATACAATCACTTCCGGTTTGAAACGTCAACGTCAATTTTGACATATTTGTCATCTTCATTAAAAAACCTTTAAAATGAGTCCAAACATGACGCACTTATCTCAAAAAACAAAAAAGTTAGAATAAAAAACATTAAACCCGAAGTTAGCAACAATGAAGATAGCAATTTAATTTTTAAATATTAATACCAACCTTAATTTTTGATTTTTTTTTATTATATTTTTGTTTTTGTGACAAATATTAAGACATTTTATAAAAATTAAGAATATGTCAAAATGACATTGACATTTCAAACCGGAAGTTGCTTATATCTCGAGTAATATTGAAATTAAACGTATCATGTTTGCCCTCATTTTAAAGGATTTTTCACGACGATTACAAATAAGTCAAAATTGACGTTGACATTCCTAACCGGAAGTTGACCATAACTTCATTAATATTGAAGATAAATATGTCGTGTTTGTACTCATTTTAAAGGATTTTTAATGAAGATTACAAATATGTCAAAATTGAGGTTGACATTTCTAACCGGAAGTTGACCATAACTTCATTAATATTGAAGATAAATATGTCGTGTTGGTACTTATTTTAAAGGATTTTTAATGAAGATTACAAATTTACAACTTCATGGTGCTCTTTCATGATATATTCTTCTCTCCCCCAATAAATGTTAGAGACTCAACGATAGTATTATCTCAAAAATGTTACTTAGCCCCTTTCTGAAATAAACGATTCAATAAAATTAATTAAACTAACCGATTTATCCCCGAAATTTTGGTTGGTCCATTCTTGTAGCTCCGAAATGGTCGCGATTGAAGTTAACTGGGACAAATTTGCGTTGGGAATCTGAACAAATCAATTTAAATTTTGATAAGATAAGATATTAATTTTTTTTTCTCACCCCGCCCGATTGCAATTTCACCATAAAATTGATTGTTTCTGATATATCGGATTTAATATCGTCATCGTTTCTCCAAGTACCCTCAACATTTCTCAAATGCAACGCCATTTTCCTTAAAAATTCTTCGAACGGGAGCACCTCATCCGATCTAGTACTTCTCGTAATCTGCTTTTCCAAGTAATCTTCAAGATTTTGCTCGAATTTTGGGTAATAAGTTTGAGGGTTCGATAAAGCATCTCTAGAAAGCTAAGCACATACTTTAATCAATTAAAGTTTTTTGAATTATTTTTAATCTTACATAAATCGTGTTATTTTCCGCCTCGAAATAATCCGAAACAACTTGAAATTTAAAAAATAAGGGGACCCCATATTTCGCGACGATCTCCCCAACTTTATTAAAATCAATTTCCTCCCCAATCCCATAATACCCCCCATCAAAAGCCAATAAAGGCCAAATCCCCATCTCTTTCATCACTTCTTGTTGCGGCATTTTCAACATATCCAAATAATCGACGTCTAAACACGAAGAATACGCCGCTTTGGCTTTTTGCAAAGCGATGGGGTCACTTTGTTTCCTCGGGGACTCCAAAATTAATCTCATCAAGCCATGAATTTCATCTTGGAGGATCGTAAAATGGTCCCAATTATATTTCCCCTCCGGAATGGGGTTGATATTTTTAAAATTGCCGCAAGTGTATTCGTAAAAGTTATCGCAAGGGTCAATTTGGGGGTTTAAATATTGCAATTCAGGGATGGCTAATAACAATTAATTTAATTATTAATTAAATTTGTTTATTAAATTTAATAACTTACAATCTGGGCTAATGTATTCGTGATGAACTTGATGCGTTTGCGAAAACACCCCGTAATAAAGTAATAAAACGAATTGAAACTTCATTTTGAATAAAATTGTTGATGCGAAATTGATTCGGTTTCGATAAATGTTTAATGTCGACTAGTTTGGTCGAAAGTTTTTCGCGATATCGAAAAATACGATGTCAATGAGTAAATTCTTTATCTCGTTTCATAAACAATAAGAGACAAAAAATTTTTTTTCAAGATTTATCTGAGATAGCGCGTTTGTTTATTGTTGCGTTCGCGTTTCCGATTTTAATACAATAATGATCAAAAAAAAAATTTATTTACAACATAAAATTATATTTTTAATCACAAAATAAGTGTGTACTAATATTGTATTAAATTACTGATTTCGGACATCATCAGGCGACCTTTCAAACTAAAAAGAACTCTCTGGTTTGCTCCAGTTGTTAATTTTGAGTATGACGTCAACGTGTCTTCTATGGCCTTGAGCTTAACACTTCAAGGTCACATTCAACGTCAGTAAAAATCACATCTTACTGCGTATTTTATGTTCTCCCGGCAGTGTCTAATCTTTTGCCAACAGTATCTTGTATTCTGCCAGCAATATATGGTCATCCATCTACACTATCATGACTTTTAGTAGCAGAATTAATAGGTTTTCCTTTACCAATCTTCTGCCAGAAATACATAGCTATTTTCTACCAGTATCTAGTCTTTTGTGAACAGTATCTACAGTTTTGCAAACAATAGATAGTTTTCTGCCAGTAATATTTTATGTTCTTTCAGCAGTATCTCATCTTTTGCCAACAGTATTTTGTATTTTTCCAGCAATATATAGTCATCCGACCACAGTATCGTGAGTTTTAGCAGCAGAATGAATAAGTTTTCCTTAATAGTACCCAGTTATTTTTTTACAATAGTCTTCCATAAGTAGTATTTAATGTTGTTCCAGCAATATCTTGTTTTCTGTTAGCAGTATGTGGTTTTCAGATCGCAGTATCATGGTTTTCAATTAGCAGCTTCTAATCCTCTCCCAACAGTACCTACTTATTTTCCAACGGTATCTAATCTTCTGTAAACAGTATCTAGATGTTTAGAAACAATAAGTAGTTTTCTGCCAGTAATATTTTATCTTCTCCCATCAGTGTCTAGTCTTTTTCCAGCAGTATCTAATCCTGTGCCAACAGTATCTTGTATTCTGCCAGCAAATTATGGTCATCCCACCATAGTATCATGACTTTAATAATAAAATGAATAGCTGGTTTTCAATCCAGTCCTCTCTCAACAGTTCGTAATAGTTTTGCAAGCAATAAGTAGTTTTCTGTTAACAATATTTAATGTTTTTCCAGTAGAATTTTGTCTTCTGCCTGCAATACGTGCTCTTCAGGGCGCAATATCTTGAGTTGTAGCTGCAAAATATATGTTGGCTTTCAATTGGCAATATCTAGTTCTCTCCCGGTAGCATCTAATTATTTTCTAGCAGTATCTATTGTTCTGTAAGCAATATCTACACTTTTGCAAGCAATAAGTAGTCTTCTGTCAACAATATTTAGTGATTTTCTAGCAGTATCTAATCTTCTGTAAGCAGAATCTTGTCTTCTGCCAGCAATATGTGGTCTACATGACGCAATATCTTGACTTTTAGTTGCAAAATGAATGCTGGCTTTTAATTGGGAGCATCTAGTCCACTCGTAGCAGCACCTAGTTATTTTCTAGCAGTATCTTTTGTTCTGTAAACAATATCCAAACTTTTGCAAACAATAAGTAGTTTTCTGCCAACTATATTTAGTGATTTTCTAGCAGTATCTTGTCTTCTGCCTTCAACATGTGGACTTTAGGACGCAATATCATGACTTTTAGCTGCAAAATGAATGCTAGCTTTTAATTGGGAGCATCTAGTCCACTCCTAGCAGCACCTAGTTATTTTCTAACAGTATCTAGTGTTCTGTAAACAATATCTGAACTTTTGCAAACAATAAGTAGTCTTCTGTCTGCAGTATTTAGCATTCTGCCAACGTTATTTAGTCTTCTGCCAACAATATGATGCCTTCGAGGTCAATTTCTAGCAGTTTGAATATCTGATTTTCAGTCTTTAGTTTCTGCTATCAGTATAAGATGACATAAATGAAGTGATATGGACAACAATGAATAAATTACGTTGTGACTTCTTTTACGTTTTACTCAGTATCATTTTTTCACTATAAGATAATAATTTTTGGTAATTTAATTAACCCAATTTATTAAGAATCAAAAAATTAATTTCAAACAGAATCAAAAATTTCTTAAAAATCATAAAGATGATCAAAAATCCTTTAATTTGATACCTCACGACCTATATTTTGTACAAAATAATATAACTTAAATTTGACATTGACATCCGCCATTTTTATTTTTATTATTTTTTTTATTTTTCGTAATAGTAGTTGACATAAAACATTCGTGTTTGGGCTTAAATAACTCAATTTTTAATTTTAAATCGAGCCAAAAACAATTTGCACCCAATTTATTAAGAAGCAAACAATTAATTTGAAACGAGGAATCAAAAATTTCTTAATTATTGACATTCGCCATCTTTAATTTTATTCTTTTTTATTTTTTTTGTATCTTTCGTAATATCCGAGATAAAACCATCGTGTTTGGGTTTAAATAACTCAATTTTTAATTTTAAATCGAACAAAAATAATTTTGCACCCAATTTATTAGGAGTTAAAAAATTATTTTGAAATGATGAATCAAAAATTTCTTAAAAATCATAAAGAGGATCGAAAATCCTTTAATTTGATACCCAACAACCTATATTTTGTATAAAATAACATAACTGATACCCAACAACCTATATTTTGTGTAAAATAACATAACCTTCAAATTGACATTGACATCCGCCATCTTTAATTTTATTATTCTCTATTTTTTTTTCTATTTCTCGTAATATTTGAGATAAGATATTCGTGTTTGGGCTTAAATAACTCAATTTTTAATTTTAAATCGAACAAAAATAATTTTGAACCCAATTTATTAAGAATCAAAAAATTAAAAAAAATCGTATAATAATTTTTGGTAATTTAGAATCAATTAATCATATTTTTTTAAATAATATAGATAATTTTTTTGTACAATTTTCTTTTCACCTCATTGTACATGAATCGCTTCCGATAAAAATCCAGGAAATACTCAAATTAACGTCCTTAACAATTAAAAATCGACAAAATACTCGCGCGTTATCTTTAACGCACTTTGCCCCACTTAAAACTCTTGAAAACCTTTTAACAGAACAATTAACTAAATTAATTTTTAATAAATAATTAATGTCGCATTAAAATCATTCTCTCTTTGTCATCCGTTTAAATGACTTTAAGACTGTGTCATTATTTTCGATTTATATGAAAGAAGATAATTTACAATTTAATCTACAAGTTTATAATAATTTATAACAGTTTTATCGCAAAAACAATTTTCTATGAAAACAATAATAAGATGGATTTAAATTGTCCAAGTTTAAGCGATAATCCTTCGAATACAATCCCAACATCAACATCGTTTCAAATTTTAAGTTCAAATTCCGTTTTTGAATTAAGCGAAACTTTTTTCGATTACACCGAGAGAAACGATGAAGAAAACGAGGAGAAAGTTACACCGGAAGAAGCGTTAGAAATGTATTTGGACGATTTAAATTATCGCAAGGAAGATATGGAACAAGAAGCTTTAAACTTTTTAAAAGAAATTTACGAATCGGAGGAATTCAACGATCGATCGAATTTAAAAGACGTCGCGACTCAAGTTAATCAAAAAAATTTAATTAACTTTCAAAAGGAAATCGAGGAATTAATGAAAAGTGAAGAACCGATCGATTTTCCTTTAACGAAATTATCACAAGAAAAATACAGAATGGAACATATCGCGGAGGTTAAAAGGAAATGTCGCGAAAATCGTATCATTTTAGAGAAACAAAAAGAGAGTGTTAAACGAATTAAAGACGGCATTTTTGAGGCAATGGCCGAAATGAACCGGCAAAAAACAAGAAGAAGAAATGCGATTAGAGCCAGCGAACAATTAGCACTTCAAATGAACCCGAACGAAAAAGTGTCGCGTTTCACGGTCGTCTCAGTCAAAAAGGTGCGAAAATCGCAATTATTAGGCAAACAGAGACGATTAGACGACATTATAAGGAAATTAGTGCGCGAGGAACAAATTCGGAGGGAAGTTAAAGCCTTAAAAGAGAAAACTTACGATTACAAAGTAAGAAAAAAAGAAAAAATTATTTACGGAATGGCAATTAAAGGTGCCAGAATCATTTTGAAAGAGAGACCGCGAAAAATCGTTGAGGATGTCGCTGAAGATGTTCACGAAGAAGAACTCGTCGAAGAAGATGATGATAAAAAGAAGAAAGGTAAAAAAGATAAAAAAGATAAGGGTAAAAAAGATAAAAAAGGAAAAGATAAAAAGAGTAAAGATAAAAAAAGTAAAGATAAAAAAAGTAAAGATAAAAAAAGTAAAGATAAAAAAAGCAAAGATAAAAAAAGTAAGAAAGGTAAGAAGGATAAGAAAGAAATCGAAGAATTCGTTATGCCCGAAATTCCGATAATCAACGAACATTACAAAATAAGAAATGTTGTGCCCGAGGCGATGTTAAACATGATTGCTGTCGATCAAGACTTTCGCGACACGTTAAAACAGATCGAAATTGAGCGCAAATATCTGTATGAGAAAAAAAGCTACGATGTTGATAAAAAAATCGTTTTTTACCCGAATCCAATCGTATTCAGTGTAAGTCCTTTCTTAATTTTTTTTATTTGTTCAGTTAGAGCATGAAAAATCCTTTAATTTGATACCCAACAACCCATATTTTGTGTAACATAACCTTAAAGTTGACATATCCGCCATCTTTAATTTGGTTATATATAAAATAATTATTAAAAATCATAAAGAGGATCAAAAATCCTTTAATTTGATACCCAACAACCTATATTTTATATAAAATAATATAACCTTAAATTTGACATTGACATCCGCCATCTTTATTTTTATTATTCTCTATTTTTTTTTGTATTTTTCGTAATATTTGAGATAAAACCTTCGTGTTTGGGCTTAAATAACTCAACTTTTAAATTTAAATCGATCTAAAAACAATTTGAACCTAATTTATTAAGAATCAAAAAATTGATTTGAAGCAATGAATCAAAAATTTTTTTAAAATCATAAAGAGGATCAAAAATCCTTTAATTTGATACCCAACAACCTATATTTTGTGTAAAATAACATACCCTTCAAATTGACATTGACATCCGCCATCTTTATTTTTATTATTTTTGTATTTTTCGTAATATTTGAGATAAAACCATCGTGTTTGGGCTTAAATAACTCAATTTTTAATTTTAAATCGGTCTAAAAACAATTTGAACCCAATTTATTAAGGATCAAAGAATTAATTTGAAACGATGAATCAAAAATTTCTTAAAAATCATAAAGAGGATCAAAAATCCTTTAATTTGATACCCAACAACCTATGTTTTGCACAATATAACATAACCTTAAATTTGACATTGACATCCGCCATCTTTATTTTTATTATTTTTGTATTTTTCGTAATATTTGAGATAAAACATTCGTGTTTGGGCTTAAATAACTCAATTTTTTGTTTTAAATCGATCTAAAAACAATTTAAACCCAATTTATTAAGAATCAAAGAATTAATTTGAAACGATGAATCAAAAATTTCTTAAAAATCATAAAGAGGATCAAAAATCTTTTAATTTGATACCCAACAACCCATATTTTGTATAAAATATTATAACCTAAATTTTGACATTGACATCCGCCATCTTTATTTTTATTATTTTTGCATTTTTCGTAATATTTGAGATAAAATCTTCGTGTTTGGGCTTAAATAACTCAATTTTTAATTTTAAATCGATCTAAAAACAATTTGAACCCAATTTATTAAGAATCAAAAAATTAATTTGAAATGATGAATCAAAAATATCTTAAAAATCATAAAGAGGATCAAAGATCCTTTAATTTGATACTCAACAACCTATATTTTGTATAAAATAACATAACCTTAAATTTGACATTGACATCCGCCATGTTTATTTTTATTATTTTTTATTTTTCGTAATATTTGAGATAAAACATTCGTGTTTGGGCTTAAATACCTCAATTTTTTATTTTAAATCGATCTAAAAACAATTTGAACCCAATTTATTAAAAATCAACAATTTAATTTGAAACAATGAATCAAAAATTTCTTAAAAATCATAAAGAGGATCAAAAATCCTTTAATTTGATACCCAACAACCTATATTTTATATAAAATAATATAACCTTAAATTTGACATTGACATCCGCCATCTTTATTTTTATTATTTTTGTATTTTTCGTAATATTTGAGATAAAACCTTCGTGTTTGGGCTTAAATAACTCAATTTTTAATTTTAAGTCGATCTAAAAACAATTTGAACCCAATTTATTAAGAATCAAAGAATTTATTTGAAATGTTGAATCAAAAATATTTTAAAAATCATAAAAAGGATACAAAATCCTTTAATTTGATACCCAACAACCCATATTTTGTATAAAATATTATAACCTCAATTTTGACATTGACATCCGCCATCTTTATTTTTGTTATTTTTGTATTTTTCGTAATATTTGAGATAAAACATTCGTGTTTGGGCTTAAATAGCTCAATTTTTAATTTTAAATCGATCTAAAAACAATTTGAACCTAACTTATTAAGGATCAAAGAATTAATTTGAAACGATGAATCAAAAATTTCTTAAAAATCATAACCAGCATTAAGAATCCTTTAATTTGATACCCAACAACCTATATTTTGTACAAAACAACATAACCTCAAATTTGACGTTGACATCCGCCATCTTTTTTTTTTATTTTTTGTTATATTTTCCGTAATGAGATAAACCCTTCGTGTTTGGGCTTAAACAACTCGTTTTTTAATTTTAAATCCAACAAAATTGATTTTACCCAACTTCATTAAGAATAAAATTTTTTTTTTTAATTTCAGGAAGTAAAAAATGGTTATAATAAAATTTTTTTTTTTAATTTCAGGAAGTAAAAAATGGTTATTATTACACAAAAAGCGTTTCTGTGATTAACATGGACGGCTTTCCCAAGAAAATTAAGGTTTTGAATGCGGAAATTTTTAATGGAGAGAATTACGAGCACATTGAGGTCTAAAATAATCAAAAAAAAATCGAATTCACCCCAATTTTTTTGCTTATTAGGTCGAAAAATTTGGGATATATCTTTTAATAAGCGGTTTACCGTTTTCTTTCAAAATCAAAATTCATTCAAGTCAAATAACCCATCCGGTCAATGGAAACATCACTTTTCTCACCTGGTCAACGAAGACTCCGTTTAAAGAGCTCAACATAAACGACCCCTGCGGAAATGAAACCAAAAATGATTCAAAATTCCATCCGATTATAAAAGAGTCAAGTTTAAAAGTTGAAATTTTAACCCCCTACGATGAAATAATCGTCACTCCGCACGAATTCGATTTTGGGAGTATTCAATTTTGGAAAATTAAAAACAATTTTCTTCGGAAAACTTTAAGAATAATTAATCACCATGAGAAATTGTGCCAAGTTTATATCCATAAAGTATTAGATTCGTTCGATTACGAAAAGTTTTTGAGATATCACGCCGAAGCCGAGCGAGAATTAAACGAAGGAGAGGATGAAAATGGAGAGGAAGGTTTCGGCTCGGACATTTTCGACGATTCCGGTTATTTCAGTTTTTCGGAAAAATCGTTTTTCGTCGATGGTCGTAGCGAAAAAGAAGTTTTTGTCGATTTTAAACAACCCGATTACATCGGGGATTATTTCGATAAATTCCAAGTAAAGATTTACCAAGAAAACGAAGAAAACTATTTCCATATCGTCGATTTTAAGGTAAATTAAAATTTTTAAATAATTTTTTTTAATTAAATTAATTTTTTAGACGATTATTTTAACGGCCGAAACAATCCCTTACTTCATCAACGTAGTTCCAGAAACGTTAGATTTCGAAATAACCTCAATCGATTCAACGTATCAAACCCAAATAAAACTTTTTAATTCATCGAAATTACCCCAACGCATCTTAATCGCTTTTCCAACCCGTTTAAAATCTTATTTAAGCTGTTTAACCCCGGAAGTGATCATACCCGGGCATAACTGTACGGAAATGTCGATTAAATTCTATCCGGATGAAAAATTAACCACCGAAAAAGATTACCAAAAATATTACGATGAAGAAACGAGAATTTTAAATTTCAATATTTCTTTGAAGTTGGTCGCGAAGAACAGCGATGATTTTCCGGTTATTAAAGTGCCGGTTTTTGCGATTGTCGTCCCGAAAATGCCGTTGGTTTTGAAGCCGTTGTATGATGATCATATCACGATCGTTAACGATGATATGGGTGATAATGTTGTTTCTGTTGATTGCGGATCGGTTAATGATCGCGAAAATGCTTTTGTTAAGATTGGTTTGACTAATTATGGATTGGATATGCAGCACTTTGGATTTTTGAAATGCCCAAAGGTAAATTTACTTTACTTATTCTTTTTAAAATCCCAAAAAATAATTTCCCTGTGAACAAAATCGATCGTGTCAAAATTTTTTATCAACAATATTTGTTTGGAATTGAATTCCAAACAATTTTTGTTAATAACATTTTTCAAAATAACGCAATTTTAATTTCCCTGTGAATAGTACGATGCGCTATCATGGCAGTTTAAACCATCTCAAAGAAAAGTATTGGTTTTATCGAAAAATGTTTCCTACGATATTTGTTTAAAATACAATTTTAAATCGATTATTTTAATAAAAAAATTTGATATCTCCACCAGGTGGCGCTACATATTGATATAAAAGCGATATTTTGAGGTTATCTTAATAATTATCGATCGTGTCAAAATTTTTTATAAACAATATTTGTTTAGAATTGAATTACAAACAATTTTTGTTAATAACATTTTTCAAAATAACGCAATTTTAATTTCCCTGTGAATAGTACGATGCGCTACATATCAAGGCAGTTTAAACAATTTTAAAGAAAAGTATTGATTTTATCGAAAAATGTTTCCTACAATATTTGTTTAAAATACAATTTTAAATCGATTATTTTAATAAAAAAATTTGATATCTCCACCAGGTGGCGCTACATATTGATATAAAAGCGATATTTTGAGGTTATCTTAATAATTATCGATCGTGTCAAAATTTTTTATAAACAATATTTGTTTAGAATTGAATTACAAACAATTTTTATTAATAACATTTTTCAAAATAACGCAATTTTAATTTCCCTGTGAATAGTACGATGCGCTACATATCAAGGCAGTTTAAACCATTTTAAAGAAAAGTATTGACTTTATCAAAAAATGTTTCCTACAATATTTGTTTAAAATACAATTCTAAATCGATTACTTTAATAAAAAAAATTTGATATCTCCACCAGGTGGCGCTACACATTGATATAAAAGCGATATTTTGAGGTTATCTTAATAATTATCGATCGTGTCCAAATTTTTTATAAACAATATTTGTTTAGAATTGAATTACAAACAATTTTTATTAATAACATTTTTCGAAATAACGCAATTTTAATTTCCCTGTGAATAGTACGATGCGCTACATATCAAGACAGTTTAAATCATTTCAAAGAAAAGTATTGGTTTTATCGAAAAGTGTTTCGTATAATATTTCTTTAAAATTCAATTTTAAATCGATTATTTTAATAAAAAATTTTGATATCTCCACCAGGTGGCGCCACACATCAATACAAAAGCGATATTTTGAGGTTATCTTAATAATTATCGATTGAGTTAAAATTTTTTATAAACAATATTTGTTTAGAATTGAATTACAAACAATTTTTGTTAAAAACATTTTTCAAAATAACGCAATTTTAATTTCCCTGTGAATAGTACGATGCGCTATATATCAAGACAGTTTAAATCATTTCAAGGGAAACTATTGGTTTTATCGAAAAATGTTTCCAACAATATTTGTTTAAAATACAATTCTAAATCGATTGTTTTAATAAAAAAATTTGATATCTCCACCAGGTGGCGCTACACGTTGATATAAAACCGATATTTAGAGGTTATCTTAATAATTATCGATCGTGTCAAAATTTTTTATAAACAATATTTGTTTACAATTGATTTACAAATAATTTTTATTAATAACATTTTTCAAAATAACGCAATTTTAATTTCCCTCTGAATAGTATGGTGCGCTACATATTAAGGTAGTTTAAACCATTCGAAAAGAAAGTATTGGTTTTATCGAAAAATGTTTCCTACAATACTTCTTTAAAATATCATTTGAAATCGTTTATTTTAATAAAAAAATTTGATATCTCCACCAGGTGGCGCTACACATTGATATAAAAGCGATATTTTGAGGTTATCTCAATAATTATCGATCGCATCCAAATTTTTTATAAACAATATTTGTTTAGAATTGAATTACAAACAATTTTTATTAATAACATTTTTCAAAATAACGCTATTTTAATTTCCTTGTGAATAGTACGATGCGCTATATATCAAGGCAGTTTAACCATTTTAAAGGAAAGTATTGGTTTTATCGAAAAATGTTTCCTACAATATTTCTTTAAAATACAATTTTAAATCGTTTATTTTAATAAAACAATTTGATATCTCCACCAGGTGGCGCTACACTTTGATATAAAAGCGATATTTAGAGGTTATCTTAATAATTATCGATCGTGTCCAAATTTTTTATAAGCAATATTTGTTTAGAATTGAATTACAAACAATTTTTGTTAATAACATTTTTCAAAATAACGCAATTTTAATTTCCCTGTGAATAGTACGATGCGCTACATATCGAGGCAGTTTTACCATTTTAAAGGAAAGTATTGGTTTTATCGAAAAATGTTTCCTACAATATTTGTTTAAAATACAATTCTAAATCGATTATTTTAATAAAAAAATTTGATATCTCCACCAGGTGGCGCTACGCATTAATATAAAAGCGATATTTTGAGGTTATCTTAGTAATTATCGATCATGTCAAAATTTTTTATAAACAAAATTTGTTTAGAATTGCATTACAAACAATTTTTATTAATAACATTTTTCAAAATAACGCAATTTTAATTTCCCTGTGAATAGTACGATGCGCTACATATCGAGGCAGTTTAACCATTTTAAAGGAAAGTATTGGTTTTATCGAAAAATGGTTCCTACAATATTTCTTTAAAATACAATTTTAAATCGATTATTTTAATAAAAGAATTTGATATCTCCACCAGGTGGCGCTACGTATTAATATAAAAGCGATATTTTGAGGTTATCTTAATAATTATCGATCGTGTCAACATTTTTTATAAACAATATTTGTTTAGAATTGAATTACAAACAATTTATGTTAATAACATTTTTCAAAATAACGCAATTTTAATTTCCCTGTGAATAGTACGATGCGCTACATATCAATTCAGTTTAAGCCATTTCAAAGAAAAGTATTGGTTTTACCGAAAAATGTTTCATATAACATTTGTTCAAAATTTAATTTTAAATCGATTATTTTAATAAAAAAATTTGATATCTCCACCAGATGGCGCTACACATTGATATAAAAGCGATATTTTGAGGTTATCTTGATAATTATCGCTCGCATCCAAATTTTTTATAAACAATATTTGCTTCGAATTGCATTACAAACAATTTTTATTAATAACATTTTTCAAAATAACACAATTTTAATCTCCCTGTGAATAGTACTATGCGCTACATATCAAGACAATTTCATTTCAAAGGAAAGTATTGGTTTTATCGAAAAATGTTTCCTACAATATTTCTTTAAAATACAATTTTAAATCGTTTATTTTAATAACAGAATTTGATATCTCCACCAGGTGGCGCTACATATTGATATAAAAGCGATATTTTGAGGTTATCTTAATAATTATCGATCGTATCCAAATTTTTTATAAACAATATTTATTTAAAATTGAATTACAAACAATTTTTGTTAATAACATTTTTCAAAAAAACGCAATTTTAATTTCCCTCTGAATAGTACGATGCGCTACATATCAAGGTAGTTTAAGCCATTTCAAAGGAAAGTATTGGTTTTATCAAAAAATGTTTCCAACAATATTTGTTTAAAATACAATTCTAAATCGATTATTTTAATAAAAAAAGTTGATATCTCCACCAGATGGCGCTACACTTTGATATAAAAGCGATAATTAGAGGTTATCTTAATAATTATCGATCGTGTCAAAATTTTTTATAAGCAATATTTGTTTAGAATTGAATTACAAACAATTTTTGTTAATAACATTTTTCAAAATAACGCAATTTTAATTTCCCTGTGAATAGTACGATGCGCTACATATCAAGGCAGTTTAAAGGAAAGTATTGGTTTTATCAAAAAATGTTTCCAACAATATTTGTTTAAAATACAATTCTAAATCGATTATTTTAATAAAAAAATTTGATACCTCCACCAGGTGGCGCTACGTATTAATATAAAAGCGATATTTTGAGGTTATCTTAATAATTATCGATCGTGTCAACATTTTTTATAAACAATATTTGTTTAGAATTAAATTACAAACAATTTTTATTAATATTTTTCGAAATAACGCAATTTTAATTTCCCTGTGAATAGTACGATGCGCTACATATCAAGGCAGTTTAAATCATTTCAAAGGAAACTATTGGTTTTATCGAAAAATGTTTCCTACAATATTTGTTTAAAATACAATTCTAAATCGATTATTTTAATAAAAAAATTTGATATCTCCGTCAGGTGGCGCTGCATCTTGATATAAAAGCGATATTTTGAGGTTATCTTAATAATTATCGCTCGCATCCAAATTTTTTATAAACAATATTTGTTTAGAATTGAATTACAAACAATTTTTGTTAATAACATTTCTCAAAATAACGCAATTTTAATTTCTCTGTGAATAGTACGGTATCTAATGTCAAATGTAATTTAAGACATTTCAAAGTTATTATTGTTTTGATCGAAAAATGTTGCTATTTAGAATCGATTATTTTAATAAAAATTTTTGATAAATCATCCAAGTGGCGCTCTACTCTCACACATATTGGCATTTTTGAGGTTATCTCAATAATTATTGATCGAATCGAAATTTTTTATAAACAATATTTATTTAGAACTAAATTATAAACAAATTTCATTAAGAAAATTTTTCAAAATAACGCAATTTCAATTTCCCTCTGAATAGTACGGTTCAGTATGGTTTTGTCAAATTTTTTTTTACCTCCTTGTATTTTTGGAGCAGTTTCAAAAAACGTCAAAATCATTTTTTACATCAATTTTTTATTTCAATTTTGATTCCAAGTACTAAAATCTTTGAAATTTATGGTCAGCATCGTTATTTATGTTTTTAATTTATTAAATTTAATTATTAATAATTAGTTTTTTTTTTAAACCGACTTAATTCATTTTCTACGAAAGTTTTATTTTTTTTCATTTTTTGGGTTGGTATGATATTAATTGCAAAGCTTTTAATTACATTTTTAACAATTAATAATTGATGTTAAGACATTTTTATTTGATTTGAATTGTTTATATCTAAATATTGAACCGAAAACTAAATTTTATCTTTTAAATAACTAAATAAAGTTTAAACGTCAACTTGACACAAGATGGTTTTTAAACACGACAAAAAAAATTCCCTGTTGATGTTGCCAACTGTTTTAACTTTACATTTTGACATTTATAAAAATTTCTAACCTAAAAATTAACAACATATAACATACAAAAACGCATATTGATTATTATTATTACATTTCAGTACGTAAATATTTCCCCAAATTACGGATTTGGCGTTATAGAACCACTCCAATCAAAAATTTTAAAGGTTTATATCTGCTTGGAAAAAGAAGATTTGGCAAACGTTTCCACAACCTCGAAAGTTTTGTTTTTCAAGTTAACCATAACAACGATTAAGCAATTGGGTTCTGTTGAAAAGGTATTCATAATTCTAATTCATTATTTAAATTTAATTATAATTAAATTTGAAATTTTAGAAATTTGATTTAAAAGCTTATAAAAAAACGCTCAATTTAATGGAATCCGTTTTGAATCAATCCAAAAAAGAGGATGTCTTAGAAACGGAAATGAATAATTCTTTGATTCGGTTAAAAAACGATGAAGAATTTATGATGTACCTCGAAAACATAAAATATTTACAACACGCCGAAGACGAAGAATATCGAGTGGAAGAAGAAAATACTATTACTTTCGAAATTACTCAATCAGCCGAATCGAACGAGATTTCGAGGCACTTAACAAGCTTAATTTCTATCGATAAAAGTTTAAAACGTGACTCAATTTACTTCGTTTGCGAATTAACGGAGAATTGGTCCAAATTAAGCCACGAATGGTTAATTTTACCCAACACACCTTGCGGATCTTATTCAATGTTCAACATTGGGCTGACTTCCACCCCGCCGAAACCAACGAAAAAGGGAGAAAAATTAATCGTGGGGCAATTCGAGATTTTCTGCGATAATAATTTGATCCAAGTCGAACCGAGATGTGGGGAAATTAAACCGAACGAGGTAAATTTTTATAAATTTAATTAAAAGTTCTTTTCAAACTTTCAGGTGTTAATGCCAACTTTAATTTTATTATTATATTCGTAATCTTTATAAAATTTCCTTTAAAACGTTCCCGTATTGCCCAAATATTATTATTAGATTTATTTTTAAATTTATTTTTATTTATTTATTTTGAGGTTAGATTTCATTTTTTTGACATTTCAATGATTGAACGTATTCAAAGTCGATAATGCAGGAACTTCTCATTAAACGTTAATTCGCATTTTATTGAACGTATTCAAATTAGTTATTTTTTTTAAAATTTATTTAAATTAATTTTTAAATAAGTAGTTATAAACGAATTTCAATTTTTTTTTCAATTTCAATTTCAAAATTTCAATTTCAAAATTTCAATTTAAATAAATTAATTGATTTGCATTAATAAAATAATTACTTTAATTAAGAACGTGGCCAAAAGCCGATAAAGCAGATACATGTCATTAAACGTCAATTTTTTTGTTGGTTATCTTTACTTAAACGGCGATTTTAACGTTTTAATTTCATTAAAGCAGGTTAATTAGCGTCAGTTTCTTCAAAAAAGCTTATTTTATTAATATTGTCAACAATTAAACATATGTGAAGGAAACATAGCATGTCCGAGACACTAAATAAGGTAAAAAATTTCTTGATATAAATGGACAAATCTCAAACCATGGTTTAGATCGAGCCGTGCGTCTCTTAAGACAGCTAAACCTGAATGTTTCTAGTTCTAGTTTAGTGGTAGGTAGTGCTAGTTAGCATTAGATATCACTGTTTCATATTTTTATTGAATTAAAATTAGAACTAATACTAGAACTAGAAATTTTCGGGTTTAGCCGTGCGCTTAAAAATACTTTTGGTGTTTTTTGAAAGAGTTTCAACGCACGGCAAAACTTTCAGGTGTTAATGTTAACTTTAATTTTGTTATTATATTCGTAATCTTTATAAAATAACCTTTAAAATGAGTCCAAACATGACGTACTTATCTCAAAAAACAAAAAAGTTAGAATAAAAAACATAAAACCCGAAGTTAGCAACAATGAAGATAGCAATTTAATTTTTAAATATTATTATTAGATTTATTTTTAAATTTATTTTTATTTATTTATTTTGAGGTTAGATTTCATTTTTTTGACATTTCAATGATTGAACGTATTCAAAGTCGATAATGCAGGAACTTCTCATTAAACGTTAATTCTCATTTTATTGAACGTATTCAAATTCGTTATTATTATTTTTTAATTTATTTAAATTAATTTTTAAATAAATAGTTATAAACGAATTAATTATAAAAAAATTTCAATTTAAATAAATTAATTGATTTGCATTAATAAAATAATTACTTTAATTAAGAACGTGTCCAAAAGCCGATAAAGCAGATACATGTCACTAAACGTCAATTTTTTTGTTGGTTATCTTTACTTAAACGGCGATTTTAACTTTTTAATTTCATTAAAGCTGGTTAATTAGTGTCAGTTTCTTCAAAAAAGCTTATTTTATTAATATTGTCAACAATTAAACATATGTGAAGGAAACATAGCATGTCCGAGACATAGTCTACTAAATAAGGTAAAAAATTTCTTGATATAAATGGACAAATCTCAAACCATGATTTAGATTTAGCCATGCGTCTCTTAAGACAGCTAAACCTGAATGTTTCTAGTTCTAGTTCAGTGGTAGGTAGTGCTAGTTAGCATTAGATATCACTGTTTCATATTTTTATTGAATTAAAATTAGAACTAACACTAGAACTAGAAATTTTCGCGTTTAGCCGTGCGCTTACAAATAATTTTGGTGTTTTTTGAAAGAATTTCGACGCACGGCAAAACTTTCAGGTGTTAATGTTAACTTCAATTTTGTTATTATATTCGTAATCTTTATAAAATAACCTTTAAAATGAGTCCAAACATGACGTACTTATTTCAAAAAACAAAAAAGTTAGAATAAAAAACATAAAACCCGAAGTTAGCAACAATGAAGATAGCAATTTAATTTTTAAATATTAATACCAACCTTAATTTTTTATTTTTTTTATTGTATTTTTGTTTTTGTGACAAATTTTAACACATTTTATAAAAATTAAGAATATATCAAAATGACATTGACATTTCACACCGGAAGTTGCTTATATCTCGAGCAATATTGGAATAAAATTAATCGTATCATGTTTGGGCGCATTTTAAAGGATTTTTCACGACGATTACAAATATGTCAAAATTGAGGTTGACATTTCTAACCGGAAGTTGGCCATAATTTCATTAATATTGAAGATAAATATGTCGTGTTTGTACTCATTTTAAANAACCGGAAGTTGGCCATAATTTCATTAATATTGAAGATAAATACGTCGTGTTTGTACTCAGTTTAAAGGATTTTTAATGAAGATTACAAATATGTCAAAATTGAAGTTAGTTATCATATAATAGACAAATGGGCAACTTCATGGTCTTCTTTCATGATGTATTCTTTATTAAAAAACTTTTAAAATGTGTCCAAACATGATGCATTTATCTCAAAAAGCAAAACAGATAGATTAAAATCATTAATCTTGAATGTTTTTAGTTCTAGTTTTGCACTATCACAAGAACTAACGCAAGAGTTAAAACGATGTTTGAACTTAAATGAAGCGAAATTTTATGTAGATATCGTTTTTTTAATAGGTGTACACAATGTAAGTGTAAAACTAGAACTAACACTATATCTAGAACTAGAATCATTCGGGTTTAGCCGTCTTTAGAGACGTGCGGCTAAACCCAAATGATTCGAATTGATAGCCTTACGCTGGAAAGAACTTCCA